TCTGTTTTTTAATGTAGAAAATAAACATTGTAAACATATTATCTATCATTTCTTGCATCTCTGAGGGAGCCAAATATTCACTATTATTTAGATTTGGGTTATGATGAAAGAAAGCAAAATGGCTCATTGAACTATTTGTGCTTCTTTTAATAGTAAAGTAGCAATTAGTCAATGCAACTTTCAACATTCATAATGGTCATTGGGAAACAACCGTTCTATGTTTAAAACATAAAGGTTGGGTTACGTACATCTGACTCCCCCCCCCCCAAACCCCACAATGGGGGGAAGGCTTGAGCATTAGGATAATTTTGTAAACATGTTTTCTACTGTACAGTCTAGTTTTTCAGAAAAGCAAATACTCCGTAAAACGTAGAGGTAGTACATATATCCAAAGTTTTTTTGAAATCACATACTCACTCCATTTTGTTTTAACGATCTGGTCTACTTGGAGATAAGTCAAAATCTTCTTTTCTGAGCTTCCTCACATATTTTCATCAACCATTTGTAACATAATAACATAGCCAAGCCACCTCTTGTTTTATAAAAATTTTGTGTCTTTAAATATAAAGATTTAAATTCTAAATTTTGCACCAATACTTTGATAAGTTAAACTGAAAATGCATTAGTCAAACATCATAAATTGAAAAGGGGCCAGTCAAACAAACAGAAGGAATAGATGATAAGTACGTGGTTGACTGGTTGGTGCTTAAAGGGCGTATCTTTTACTATTGGTGTTGTTCTATATGTGCAAAAGACTATGCTAGGGTGCCACCACATGGGTGCTACCATGGGTGCACCTATGCTTCGCACAGACAAACATAGACGATAATTGTCTTTGTCGCACAGACAATTATCGTCTGTGTTTGTCTGTGCGAAGCATGGGTGCACCCATGGTAGCACCCATGTGATGGCATCCTAGCATTTTCCATGTGCAAATTAGTAAACATTTCTAACCATATCAAGGAATAAAAGGAACTTTTCAGCTGGTTTAAGTTCCATCCTAGATTAAGTCAAGTAACCCAAGTTGTAGGTAAAATACCAAAACGCAAAAACAATGTTAGGTTACTCTGGTTGAAGAAATATTTACCAGTTCAAAGCTCTCCACAAGTGATTTGCATAAGTCTTCATGACTATTGTCAGGCCCATACCAAATACGATCCCAAGTAGACCTGAATCCATTGCTAGCAGCAGCTTGCTGCATTAAAATTTTACCTATTCAAGGAATGAAACAACACATAAGGAAGGAGAAAGAACACCTTCCCTTTTCTTCTCCAAAAGATAGTGGAAGCAGTGTATGAGAAAAAACATTATGTCCATCAATTCTTATGCCCTGACTTTAGGAGGTATACTCTCAAGTTGTTTAGTTAGAGGTTATCAAATAAGACAAATACTAATACTTTGCACTTCTTCCTTTTTTGAAAAGTTGAAAATCTAACAGGGAAAACATATTAAATAGTACTCCCTTCATCCGACTATTTCATTTTTCACCAATATTTGCTTCTATGTTTTCATCTCACTATCTTTGTTTCTCGCTATATTTAGAA